TAGAAAAACGTTTGGCACACAAAACACGCCTGTCTGGTAACTCCGGTGAATGACATTTAAACTGTTCCTCAATTGGTCTAAACTGTTGTTTAGGTACCTACTAAATTGTTTCCTTTGATCCAACAGAGAATTATTGCTTAACAAAAACATAGATGTATCCAAAAAACTATTTTACTTGAGCTACTCATAACAATCTTTAGTCTTCTCATCATATCTGCTAGAGGTCATAAAAGAATCAATATCAGGAGGTGAAACTGATATAGTTTCACCTTTTGATATTGATTCTACTCATACTAATAGGTATTATAAACGTAAACGTTTGTGAGTATGGATGGATGGATGTTTGTTACTCTTTCTCGCTAAAGCTACCTACTGAACTAATTTTATATAGGATTACATATAAGTTATAAAAATAAAGTAAGTAAATTGGGCGAAATATAATGATAAATGTCATCGGAGGTAAGGCGCTGTGCTAAATCTTAAATCTTAAAACCATCTAGGCCGTACAAAAGTTATTTGTAAGATTTAACTCTTATATTACGGCTTTGAAACATTACGATTTAGACCAATAGTGTTCCCACAGGCACGGTGCCGTGCGATATGAGTAGATCGCGATCTGGCACGGGGCACGACCGGGCACGGGCCCAGGGCTCGCACGTGGGCCACAGACGTCTATCTGTGTTAATCACTGATAATCTACCACGGCCGAGAAACAATACTCCATAACGCCTAACAAATAGACACAATTAATAATAATTCAAAAAGCGAATTGCGAAGTAAACTTAATTCCATATAGGTATATGGAATTAAGTTTACTTCGCAATTCTATATATAGGTATATATTTATTTTTGCTGCGCACATATTTAATAATTTACTTGACATTTGATAGTTAAACAAGCCAATGTAATTTTGTACGTGAATAGACAATAATAGGTTTCAGTTAACAATGCACCTTCGAACTGACAGAACATTAAATTCTTGGGATCTTTCTTCGAACTAGTGTTTCCGTTGAAAACTAATCAACGCCAACCATTATGGGATCAGGGTCGGACTTTACGTATGCCAATATATCTCGAAGGCTCCTCGGGCAAGGAGAGTGCGCCCGTCCCCGGTGAATTAGTCCCGACAACGGCACAATAGACCATAATTATGAAATGTGTTGTGATTCCAAAAGGATATGCAATTTTTCTCTCGCAGCGAACAATACGAGACTGTAATGAAAGGAGTCAATCAGTCGGTGTCTGCGGAATACGCTGCATTAATTTATGCGCCAGTCTTTCCTCGCTCGCTGCACGCTGCACTCGCAGACTCAGTGTGTGAGTTTTAACGACGTGAGAGCACTGCACTTAATACATAGTAGACCTTCAATTTATAATATATACTGGTTGTTTCTACGATTTTGTCTGCTTGGACTAATTACTTACATTATAACATACATACATTCTAATTATCTACCTACCAACTACTGGAGCACTTTAATGTAATAACGGAAGTACCTACTAGCAAATTCCCGCAGCCGTAGGAAAGTAAAGTAATAATTCTCGACAAATTATACTTTACTGTGTCACGTATTGACATTTTATAACAGAGTAAAATATGAATTTTATGCAGAGTTATGAATTTTTGTAAGATATTTTGTTTCAATTTTTGATATACAGTCGTATACAGTAGATTTTAATCCGGTTAAAATGAGAATTGTTAGGGATGACGTTATATAATTAGGCCATTGACCTTCATATTTTAAAGTTAAATTTGAATTCATTTCAATTTATGTACGGTTGTTAATATGGTAATTCTTTCCTTTATTCTATAATAAATAAATAAATGTTTATAGAAATATTTGTAACAAGACAAAAGAAAAAATGATTGCTTGTCTTTGAATGATAGAAATGATGACTTGCCATATAAAATATTTGCGAGTCGCCGTGCTGTCTACAGACACATTTTCGTGCACACCTGATCATCAAACACGTCTCTCAGCAACAGACATGTACTTACGTGCTAGCTTGCATGAATTTATAGCGAACCCTGTATTATTTACTAGCATTATACGCACAATTTGCGAAGCTGTCGCAAGGGCCAGCTATAATTTCAGGATGGCGGCAGATCCATCAATACTCGCCTGAGGCCCCGGCCGCTTTCAATTTGTAGTCCGCTTACATCCACGGCAATTACCGCCCGGACGGAAGGCCGATCATCGATACACGCTTAATAATGCCTAATGACACATAATAAAGACGGAGAATAAAAGTGTGACGATTATTTATTACCTATCCCGTATATCGGGTGTGTCAACTTGGATATACATGATGAGTTAATTGTCTATAGAATGAAGTCAATCCCAATTATCTTTAGCTGTTCTGTTGTATATTTGTTGTGAATGAAAAAATGATTATTTTTATTTAGTTGGCGATTAGAGGACAAATGTCTATGTTGTACTAGTTATTGTCTACATCGTTTTTTTAGTGCTGCATAATACTTCCAGTTATAGTATCCGTTTTGAAGTTGATTACTAATGAAAATCCATATCTATTAACATGCTAGTACGTTATAGGTATTTCAATTTGAAAATCTATAAAATTTTGTACAGTGTTGAAATTTTAGCAAATTAATTTTAAACGATGTTAACTAAACGATATTTGCGTTCGTTTAGTCAAATTGCTATATCTATTAGTGAATTATTTGCAATTTAAACCCAAGGTTGAGTCAAGAAGATAGTTAACAACATTTAAGAATATGTCGAATATTATTAAGCAGATATGAAGATGGTACTTTATGTGACTAAGATATAATATCCATGGCTTCAGGAACAGGGTCAGACGCGTAGCCATAACTGGAGTCTAATTTGTTACACTTCTGTGACCTTGTATTGTAATGCATATTGTAGATAATAATTGTATTGTAAACAACAACATTGTTGTCCCTAATTAAAAACAACAGTATAGGTAATGTAAAGTCACCTAAGTACAAAGATTTTGTTAATATAGAGTTATGTATCATAATATATACATTGTTATGCAGTGGTTACATATCATAATGCTTTTAAATTATATCAATTTTCTGTAGCTAAAGAAAAACTATGTGCACTATTAAAAACAGCACCTACTCATATTATTAATAATTAATATGAAATCACCTCAATGAGACTTTACTACAAAGTAATCTAAGTGGGTACCTTTATATATTCTTATTCTGTCACAAGCAGCTCGCTTTGTAATTTGTGTTCTTCTGGTGAGATAAGATAGTGAAATTACAAAATAATCAATTAGGTACGCCCTCTATGGTTTAGCTCACCGCCATACTTCCAATGGTATGGAATCCAAATCCTCGCAGAATACAGACAAATGTAAATTAGTGATTATATTAGTCACGATGTTTTCTATGTAAGTGTATTATGTATTTACAATAGAAATGTATTTAGATATTTCCATCAGTTATTTAGTACCTATAGGACCGAGCAGAGATGGCGCTGTGTGAATTGTACTGGGTTATTATTCATCGTCATCATAATTTCAGCCCGGAAGACGTCCATTGCTAAACAAAGGCGTCCGCCAATCAAATCTTCACGACGATCCTGCGCAACTCGTATCCAACGCTTTCCAGCGATCTTGACCAGATCGTCGGTCCACTTGTTATTGTTCCAGTTATTATTATTTTATAATAATTTAGCCTTCAGGAATGCTGCGTATGAGACTCTACTAGAGTAATGTCAATGTCGTTTTAGTGAGTCCGGCTTACTGTTCGTATATGGAGGCGACGCTGTTATCACAAACACACTTCAGAAGAATTTTCAGGTTCTCTGCCTTTCAATATAGATTATTACAGAATGAAACTACAATTGGGTTGATTTCAGTTTATTAACACTTAGGGCTTGACCCTGATATGTGTTGCTACCGCTGCGTACTGCTCACTATTTTCCATATATTTCAATAACATTTATTTATTCATTAAGTTACAGTAACTGTATTTCAAAATATTAGACTATGCAATAAAACAATCGTTAATACTTTTAGCATTCCTAAATAGTAATATGAAAGTACATCGCAGATATTTTACTAAGTAGGTATTAAAAATTAGTTTATTGAAATTTTAGGAACTAGTTAAAAATGCATTTAATGTAACACAATACGTACGATTTATACAAAAGTGATATTTTGTGATAAATCGTACGTATTCTGTTACAGTATATGCATTTTTTTATTACTAACTTTTTGACATTTGAATTTGACGGACATTGAAGCGGGATTTTGTTATTATTCGGCGAATTAGTGTAAGTGTATATATTATATATGTATATATTTATGTATACATATCATAAAAAAGGTGTTTTTTAAATAAAATACATTAACATCACTGTCACATAATGACAACAGACATGCATACCACAGCATATATACATCAATAACATAATTAATTCCACTTAGTTAACATTAAAAATAAAAGAGAGTTTAGTTATACTGAATTAACAGTTAAATAAATAAAGTTTTCATATGGTAGTTCGACACAATTAATTCACTTAAATGAAATACTTATCAGAAAATAATTATAACCAGAAATATCAATTTTTATAATATGTTATCATATCAAGTTAAATATTATTGTTTTTATAAAAAGTAGTAATATTTTTGTACGAAGAACACTTTTATTAAATTCCAATTTGATATGAATATTTAGTAGTAATTTGTTAGGCAGGTATTATTGAAATACCTTTGAAAATATTTAAAGAAGAATAAATTAGGATATTAACAATTTTAGAAGCTTCGCATACTAGTACTGTATCATGTTTCGCCGTGTAGGTTATATATTATATTAAGATTTTAGCTTACCATTTTTATTTAGATTTTTAGACATTTATATTTAAAATGATTTGAAAATCTGCGTAAAACTTTCATAAGTTCATACTTTCATAACTTCGAAACTTTACATAGGTCAAATCATAAAACTGATTTATATTACATAAATTATATTTTTCAAACCAGAAACCAATTGTTTCATCAAAATAATATACATTAAATAAGTTTATAGTGAGCAGCACTTTCATATTTTTCTACTAAGACAATACTTCTTCAAATCTCTTATTTGATACAAACATCTAAGTGACCTCTCTATATACAGTGCTTACCCTACAAAAATAATTTAACCAAATACTATACAATACGTACAATTTATATAAGTAACTTATATATGGAATATAAATAGTCTTAAGCATTAAAAATATACACACAAAATACAAATTATAATCTAATTATTTACTTTTTATCACTGATTTGGAATTCACAGGAATAATGGTATTGCACCATCTATACTAAATCGTGTCCCAATGGATATATTAAACTTATTCTACAATTATTTGAGAACATTATTTATTTAATTTCTTTTATTCTCTTTATATTTCTTTATAAGGTATATTATTATGCAATTACAGGCGCACTTTCATTGGTCGATAGAGAAAAGATTTTGTGTGCAAGAAATTACAAAATCGCATGTCAGCGAATCAGTAGGCGAAGTAGTTTAGTTTTGTATGGAATACATATTCAGATTTTAGAAATTACTGTGCACTGTTTACTATGTGCAAGAAACTTACGACTCGAGGAGGTTCTAACCCAGCTTTTAGGGAGGCTGGGTATACTTTTATATATATCATTTATTTTATCGATAAAATATTTTCACTAATCATTACCATGCTGTTCAAATTATCAACCAATGAATTTGACCCCTCATATTTTGGATATATAAAGATCAATTGATATTAATTTTCATTATTTTTTATAATATTACACATGTAATTTATTTTTATAAATTTATTGTAAAATAAATTAAATGATGGAATGTTTCTTTTAAAACTGTTTTATTATGGTTAGAAATATTATTGATATACATACTAATAGTACCTATATTATAATATTGACAATAAAATTGACAAGTTTTAAGTAAAATATTGCTCTTTGGTTAATAAGTAAGTATTTATATGAAGACTAAATGTTATGACCCTAATACGGGTCGACACAAAATTTACTATTTTAAACTATGCATTTGAAATTAAACGAGTGTATCATCTGTGCAGGTAACTATTATTAACATTCCTTTGAATCTACATTTACATTACTTCCAAATTATTATTTCGGGTAGGAACCTTGAAATTATGTTATACAGTAAATCTAATAGTAACTGCTTACATCTAACTAGACAATACATACATTTTCTATAAGGTACTATTTAAAAATTCACTTTGAATACTATATTGTAAGTCTTTTTCATTTTACTGATCTCGCATGTCGTGGAGTAAAACATGTAACAAATGTAGTTATCTACTTGTTTATATGTAATATTTTTTGTCCATTTGGATTATATGAACATGATCTACGTCACAGCACATTTTTGTCTGATTCGCAAAAGTTAATAAATCAAATTTACACTTTGGAATGCTGACAGCTCACAGAGGATGTCGCGGCGATGTGTGGTCGGCGCGCGACGGTTGCGCGGCGGGATGCGTTGGGGGTGGATAGGGACAGTATCGAAGAGGCGCGGGGGGCTTCTGCAGCCAGAGATCCGGCGGTATCGCCAGTGGCTGTGGCCAGGCGGAGGGCCAGGTCCGACCTCCCAGCGCCAGCAGTTGCAGCGCTGGTGGTGTCCGAGCCCACGCCGCTCGCTTCTCAGCTTCTTCATCGCCACCGGTCGTACTCGCGCCACCAGCGTACAACCTCAACGGTGACCGTAATAACTGCTGCTCCATCAGCATAAGCTCCATGGGGTCGCTGGGGAAGAAAAATAAGATTGATTTGTATATTATGGTTTAACATTCTTCAAGAAAGTGTTTCACAATTACATTAAGCTTGGCGCTGATTGCAGTTCACACACCCATTATTAGAATTATGCGACTATTATGAAAAGGGAATCTATTTCGGTGAACGTGGATTCATGTTGGAATGGTATTGGATTCTCCGAAAGCGAGTCTTGCAAGTTCACCCGTTCGTTAGTTTTCAGCGGTCCGTAGTCTATAAAACTGAGTTCGGGGAAAGGCGAGAGACCACCGAAGGACCACGTGCAGTCACAAATATCATAAAACATAATGTGCTCACGCTGTTTAAGTCTTCAAAATTCTTGGTAAACATCTAACAGGTAGGTATCATCTGTTTCGCTTAAGCGTCACAAAACACGGAATCCAATGATGCTGCATATCAGTACGAGTATAACAGTTTTAGGTATATGAAGATGCAAAGAGTAATCTATCAGCACAATATCTGTGGCGATTGTTTCGTCGAAACGTCTTTACGAGTGTACGTACTCGCAGTTAACGAGGCGTCGCGTCGCGGCTCGCCCTTTATTGCTCAACGCAATGCGCTATATGCCCTTTATCGGTTCCCGGAGGTTGTCGCGACCGCCACCGAGCATGCTTCCCGCTAATTCGCTATTTTCGCCTCTCTACGAAACTATCGACGGCACTCAAAAGCGTGCAATAATGCATCATTCACGCCCGGTCAATAGAACTCGAACGAGACTACAATTTCTTCCCGGTCCGAGGCGTGAGGAACTGAAAATGGTATGCTAAAGTGCTGGCGAGTCGTTTATTAATAATGGTTTGCATCTCGAGAGACGAAGGATGACTTGAGCGGCAAATGAGCGTGACGACACGGCTGGCTTGAGGTGAGCCACAAAATTGGCATGACATCATGAGATGCCGTGTCGAATTTAATCTATCACCGCGGCAGGTGCCCCAGGCGCCGGCGCGCTCGGCCCGGGAATTAAAACAGGTAGTGGTTTGCCCACACACGCCAGTCGGAACATAGATTTCTTTAAACACTCTAATTTCTATAAAAACTAATAATAGCGGTGTTAATGTTATTGTAACCGTATATTATCTAACACCTATAACTTTCTATTCCGACTTTGTATATTCTCACGATTTTGATAGGGTCATTGGTAAGTACTGACATGGATAATATGAATATTCTTTTGCATTATATATATTACGAATATAAATAGGGAAGTGTGAATTTATATTTAATAGATTTTATATAAATCCACACTACAATTCATGCTTTATCTTTGATTTTAAACTTAAGCACATTTGTAATTAAATATAGAGATACCTATTTTGGATTCTGGGGTAGGTGTAGGTCATCTTTAATTATACTAATACATTAAAATATATTTTATCTTTCGATATGTAAATGGGTCGAATGTAGTCACAGATGAAAGTTTTTTTTTTTAATTAACTATAACGATTAGTATGAACGTATTGAAGAATTGTATTTATAAAAAAGGACAAGAACAACATTTTTATATCATTATCTAGATACATATGATTTTTAAGTAGATAGATAGTAAAGCTACAAAAGATAATAGTTTGAACATAATTCTATCAATAGCTATATATCATATGAACTAAAGTCATGAAGACATTAAATACCTACAGCACATATTTGTCCTTAACACAAAGCAGTTAAAGCTCGAGTAACAAATTATGTAGATCAAAATCAAATAAAAAAAATCCCACAACATATGGAATTAATTACACAAAATTATTCAGTGTAAATGTAATTCTCACAAATTACTAATAAAACAACAAAACAATACGTAAATTGTAATTTTACTAACACATTCCTCACCACCACTAATGTCTTTAAATTTACACGTAGACGGAAACCAAAGTGAAAAGGTCGTAAGTGCGTCCACGTTCGTGTACAGATCGGCTGTTAGTCCGAATGGTAATGTCGTTTCGGGGGCTTTGGGGCGTTAATGGCGTATTTATTATGATCTCGGTATCAGCAGTAATAGCCAACACTCTCCGCCAGCAAATTACAGGGCGGCGGTTCTTAGAGGTTCGCCGCTAGGAACGAGCCAAGCTCGCGAATGCCCTTATCGATATCTCGCTCCGGCTCGTGTTTATCGATATTGTGGTTGCCAATGCATAATGAGCCAATCTGATAAAAATGAAATATTGTTTCCTTTCCACCTTTATTGTGTACCTGAGTGATAAGCATTACTTGTATGTATTACATTGTACAAATTATGGAATCAGATTTCAGCTATTTGCAAATCTCGAACTCTTTTATGCTTTATTATGTTGTAATATATATTATATTGTGTAGTATATTGTTATCGTAGCGATAGTTCATTATTAATTGTAAATAACATTATATTGATTTTGTTAATTCATTCATACATAAATTAAAGCAATCAATTAACATCGATATCATATATATAGATTATCGACCATCCCAACACTAAAGCATGTATAGGACATTATCGTTCAAATTGTTGAAACCTACACTCAACGTATCAGGGAGAAGGAAAATTATTTTGACAGGCACATTTCATTTTGAAATTTATTACACAGTTATTGAAATGAACTTTACAAAATGGAATCCAACAGTTTCACGGGCGCAAAGTAAAACGCTCACCAACAGACTGACGTGCTATTCTCATTGAAGTTATTTCTAGATCATAAGTGAATCGCATGCAATTAACGGAGAGGTGCGTCCGAGTATAAATAACTCTCTCGCTAAATATCGGGTCCTGATTGAGCGAGAGGCGTGTCTTATTAATTAATGGATGAAAAGCCGCCTCGGCCACCATGCCAAATAACTACATCGCCTGTTTCTCACACAATGGCAATTCATCATACTTATTGTCTGACGATTTTGGACGTCATCGAAGGAAGTCATTAAGAGCGCGGTTAGATCGTTCTTTAAGCATTTATATTTATGTCGGTGTGAATTCGGCAATCAAAGTAGAAAGCTTAGTGACCTGTCGCAACAAACACCATAAACAATAGAAGCGGATGTTGTTTGTTGTTTGATTGAGTTGTTAAATTCAGCCAATAATTATCATATTCTATGATATTATTATTAATTCTTAACGATGTAGCCGTAGAGTGTCAGTTTAATTTGTAAGCTTTTTCCGTCTGTAGGGTGAGATATGGCAGTGAAAATACAGAGTACAGAGTCATGTCACTTTGATTGTCAGAAATAAGAACGCACAGCAGTGTTCGTGTAGAGATACCGACGATTGCCACTTTCCATCGATGGTCCGGTAACTTGTTTTCCATCCCAGTTACATAAAAAAAGTCAATAGTGTAAATGACATGGCGAAATGGCATTCTCTGCAAGATATTATCGTGCACTGTTGCATTATTTAGTTGAATATTGGATCAGGGATGTCAACCTTACACGATTCCTCATAGAGATACGAGATTTTTGACCTTCGGTAGGACATTTTCAATCTCGTACAAGCCTGTACGAGATTTTGACCTACAGAAATCGGCCCAAGTAGGAGGTTAGAGAGCCTAATTGAGCCAATACGCGATAATTTTTACCTCTTCGTACTACTCTAAATATTTTAAAAGTTGGAACCCTGTACTAGATTCAGTGATCGATAATGAACGTTGGCGCACAGTAGCGCTAGCGTTGGCCGAGATCACTCAACATAACAGACAGTGAGAAGCTACTAATTGTTCATTCACTCGTACAGGTGCCGTTATACGTGAGCATACATTTTAATGACAGGTGACATTAATGAGTTGTATGCCTGACAAAATTGTTTTTATTTCTATATTTACAATATATATGTAAAAGTGTGTCTGTTTGTGTTTGTTGTAGTATTATTTGGATACAGTTTAGTAGGCGCCCCGCCTGAATATTGGAATAAGTTGTTATTATTTAAAAGCTCAGTTTTATTATAATAGCGATAGATATTTGTATAATATTATAGGTTTCGGTAAGCACATGGTACATAATGTCATGGTTGATATGGTGATGATCACTAGATAATATGTTATGATTAACTAGGTGCCACTTTTATTATTTACTTCATAATTTTGAATACGCCTTTCCTTAGTTTAGCACATATTAATCGAATTTCAAGCAATAAATGCTTCTATCGCAGCGATTTAGTCCAAACAATACAAACGGATACGTTAACATTGTTGCTCTTAAAATCTTTAAAGTAGAGATGAGTTCGAACATTTCAAGATATCAATCTGCATCGGTAAGCACTTAAAGTTCAATCGCATGACGTTTTACATCGTAAGCAAGTGTCGGTCAGGGGTGCCAACCATACAGGAACATCATACAAATACCAGATTTTTGTCTTTCGATACAAGGGCATTTCATGCTCGTACAAATATTGGACGAGGTTGTTAACCTACAAAAATCGGTCAAATTACGATGATGTTAAATGATTACTTAATTTTTACGTATGAGACCAAGTCGTATAAGGTTGCTAACCCTGTTGTCGGTTGCAACGGTAGCGGTCCAGCGACAGGCGAGAGATGGCCGACGTGCGAAGGAAGCGCGGTAATTGCATCGATAACATCTCGAATTAACCGTCAATCACTAGCGGTGAACTATCAACGCGCCGCCTATACTCAGTATCAATTAATCCAAATCGGTAGCCGTGCACTGACGCCTTCTCAGATTAGATTAATAATAGGTTCGATAAATTTGCTGATCATAAAAGTTAAGAGATCTGTACATTACTTATATTTTAAAAAAAACTATCTTAGACGTTTTTATTAGAAGCACAGAAGCAAAATAACAGTTTCTAGAGTTTTTGTTAATCTGTATATTTGTATACAAATTACTCATAATAATAAGTGCATAGAACTGAAAGCTGTATGTATTGTTGAAGGTCTAATGTAAAGTATAAATCTCATGTTAGCGTAGAAAAAGGTCTCCATTCGAAATAATGGCGAGTCGCTAGTTTAAAATAATTGTGTGAATTAGTATACATAATATGCTAATTAAGTATGGAAATTTTAGATGTATTTAAAAGCTACATAATTTTTTACATATTTATTGAAGTTTCTATACACCTACTTAAAAGCTGATACAATTAATCCTATCAACGAGAATGTAATAAAATAGTACCTAATAGGAAGTATATTTTTTAGTTTATTTTCATGTATATACATATATAACTATAAACAGAAGCTTGCTAAAGTGTATCCATTTCGTACATTAAAAATTATAATATACAGGTTTACGTATAAAAATTTAGAATAATAAGCGCTGTTTTGCTTAAGTCTGTGCATGAATGAGAAAGACGCTCGGAGAACCGGTCTCGGCCGAAACAGCGATGGTCGATGGTGAGATAATAGAAGCGCGTTTTAATTTGTCGTTTAGGGTATAATGAGAGTGGGCTCTGTGATTACACCGCGCCGCCGCCGCCGGCCGTCGATGACGCGAACTGTTTCCACCGCCTCCCATCACACGATGCATGTGTTCAATGTGCGAACACGTTTCTTGGAGCCGAGGGAAAATATGCGCATTTATGAATAACATATCGCCATATCTGTTACAATCAACATTTTTGTTTGGTCAATTTAAATGGAACAATATCTCTATAAGCTAAATACCATGTTTTCGTAACAAATATTCTTACAGATTAGAAATATTACATAGAATAAAATGCAACTACGACCGAACATTTTTAGAAACTATATTTTATTACAAAAAACTAAAGGATCTTTTTAATATAAACACATAAAAGAACACCAATATATTTAATGTTGTCGCCGTTGCAATATAATATTTTACGGTTCTGACAGAAATATTTAAATAAATAACGCGATCATAAATTTTATATGTTTGAAACACATGTTGATATGCCGACCTACCTAAATGATGATATAGTAATTAGCACCATGACATCACTTATTTCAACACATTCATTAAAGCTCTTTATAGCTTATATTGTACATGCTACCTAATGGACTAGTATATATACGAGTATCATCAAACGTTTTAAGTATGATCATATCAGGACTACTCTATAAATAGTCGGAAGAAATAAAAATAAATTGAAATTATTTGAGAATAAATGTATTTCATAATAAAAACTACTCATCATTTAAACTACAGATAGAAAAAGGGATTGTTGTTCAATCAGGACAATTTACCTAACATTAAAGATTCCCAGTAATTAAATACGAAGAAAAAATAGTGGCATGGTTAATCCTGTTATATTAACCGTAAAGTTTATATTTCGATGTAATGCCACTGAGTACCCTAAGTAAATTTGTGAGCATACTTTTAGAAGTGACTTTAAATACTACAAGTAACTAAAAAGACTTTAAATTTCAATCTTATATTTAACCAACAAAAAATAATATTGAACCTTTCGAGGGCTTAATTATAGGTCCGAAATATGATTTAGCAACGATTAAGCAGATTGGTGAGATAACAGCGTACCAAAATCGACGTTTCGATCGGCATTCAACCTCATATCAGCCTCAATCAGACGAGGTTGGTTCGTTTTTAATCTTTTATTCATGGTGGAATCTCTCGGCGCACAAATTGCAGGGCGGCCGGCCCTAATGTCTTTCAACTGTTGCTAATAATCTGCCAATTTATCAAAATCGCCTCGGGCGCCGAAACATCGCAACGGTTTAGATAACATGTGTGCGACGTGTGTCCATCACTAATCGAGATTTTTATATAGGTACAACACTGGCTTTAGTTTATATTGGTGTTTGAGAGTTCAATTAACTTTATCCTATGTTTCAATAATAGCTAGTAAAATAAGTCATCTTTTATTGTAACAAGTTCCTAAATATTTCTGAATTTACTTAATGTAATAATATTCTTCTTTTTTCTTTAAGTTCGGTATTTTCAATGTTTTGATATCATAGTGAGAAAATACTTTGAATATATTATGTCATAAGTTAAGTAGGTACCTACCTATATTGTTTATTTATAGTGGTCTACATTACTACTAGGTATACCTATATACCTTCTCTTATTCAGGGGTTCGCTGATTTGATTGTGAATAACAAGTAGTCGTCATTATGGAATCAAATATAAAAAGAGGTGAAATAAAGAAATTAAGTAAAGTAAATACAGTTATTTTAAAATTTATAAGTTTCAGTAAACTCACCGATCAAAGTCTGTAAGTCTTGATGAGTCTCTGAATCCTTTGGCGAAAGGGTTCGAGTCTATCTTTAGTTTGGTGATGAGCTGGTTCTGATATGCCGTCACGGCCGTGAATACTGTTTCCGGAAATACAAAGGTGCGATGCTGTTCTCTAGATAAGTCGCTGATGGGCCCGGCACCTTCTCGTACTTTCACCAGATGAATCCGAGGTTGGTACCGATGCATGGAGTTTAGAACGATCTGGGAAAAACAACAAATAATTGTAAAGTTGGTACGTATAAAAAAAATAGGGAGGTTAAATTTGTTAATAAGTGTAGTGTAATTTGATTACGATCTTGACCAGTATCTCGAATTTCGAAATCAGATTGACTCCTCTTTATTTCTAACCTAATGTTTATCTTTAGTTATGATTATAAAAGGATTACTTTCATGTTTATATGGAATAATATACTAAATAATAAGCACGTGCATAGTTATGATTGAAAAAGAAAAATAAACTATAAAAAACACGTGCAGTGAATTTCGCCAATTGTTCATTGGAACAGAGAGATTGGCAGTTACAATGTAGGTACTGCAGGTTTAGGAATAAATAGAAATTATACTTATATATTATCTATGTTTTTTATTCATAAACAATCAAACGTCCAGTAAATGTATTTTAGCTATTGTACGGAAGAAACTAGCTTCAGAAAAAAGGTCAACATAGACCTTTTTCTGAAGCTAGTTTCTTCCGTTGAAATAATCGACAGAATAATATTCATTTTAAATAATACATTTTAGGTGATTTTAGTTTTACACATATAATAAGATTAGTCTTTAACAATGATGTGACTAATAGTTTGACAACGGTCATTAATAGAGCATTCTTGAATACCAGGTAGAGTATTTATATAACTAAACTAGCTTACCAAGAAACAAAGTGGAAATCTGAAGGTAGTCTACATTTAACTTCACATTAAGCGCAGTTTTTATGAAGAATTTAAAAATTCTATTCAATTTTCCACTCTGCTCTTTCATAAAAATGTTATTATGTAGATAGGTATATTCAATTAGGTAAGTCCCAAAGAGGTTCTTACAAGCTTTTGTTGTTACGTTAATTACTGGCTGCGTTATCTATTTTGTAATAACAGTGTCGGTGATTTCTCATCACGCTACAATGTGGATTATTAATTGGTGCTCGGCTGTCCGGGAGAGATATGATGGCCGATAAGCCGCTCGCCGGCAAATTGTTCACGACTTTATGGCTCTGATGAGATAATTAAACTCTGTAAATTAATTAATTTGGCTGCCTAGTTATTTTTCAACGTAATTGTGTTAATGGTGCGGGCAGAAGTGCTGATTCACGTCGAGGTGAACGCCTCGTGGAGCTTGTGTACATAACTGACCAGCCCACCATATCTAATAGAGTGGTTAGGGGCGGTTGTGACAGGACTCATATAAGTACGTCATTATTTAAGAGTTATTTATTGAGATACACTTAGTAAAAAGTTTAATCTATTTTAGCCACTAAACAGGTTGTTTTGTAAACAATATTTCAATAAAAGTGTAAAATTAGAAGATACAGAAGCATAGGCCTTCGAAATGGTAATATATGGAAGGTACAATGTGGATCAGGGAATGGTTATCATTTTCTATAAGAACAGCCATCAGTTTGATTCCTATTCCAATTAAATAAAGAAATAGATCGGTTCATACATTACCATCGTATGAACCAATTATCATACCACTGCAGCGCAATTCTCTTCTCTTTAGAGGTGAATTTAGTCTACTGTTACTGTCTAAAACTTTGTAAAGCAATTGGAATAAGGGTCATTTATTTCTATTGATTTTATAAAGTTTAAGACCATGGCATAGAGTTATATTTCAAGTTTCCCTTTTGCAATTTTGTAGTCTACCAATTAGATATAAAATCTACATCTCTATCTATTCCAACTTACAAGTACCTATCTAGTTGTGTTAGAACAAGATTAATAGTAGATAAATAATATCAGCACTACTACAGTTGGGGTCGGGCTGTTCACAGGTTTCGTAAACATGCCTCCACAGAGTACCATGGCCTAATCCGGGGCGTGGCCGATGTCATTACGTTGCCTCTAATTTACTCAGCAGCGCCTAACGAATTGCCGCCTCCGCCCGGAATCAAACTTGTCGTTTTTGATATCTATCGATAATTACCGGTATCGATCACCGACCGACACCTACATTGATACATTAAATTAATAGGTGTCTATGGATTATATGCTTTTATGAGATATCTATGCTTTTATGAGAATTAATTAATATATGTAATAAATTACAGTTAGTGCATGAAAAATTGAGGCTATTAATAATATGCATGTTCGTATGATTATGTTTTTTTTGGCTGATTTGGTTGAGTATTAATGAATGGTCGTTAACCCTATATGTTCAGGTTAAATAGTCTGCAATAGACTTTATAACCTAATTACTTTTTTTTATAAATTGTTTTTTTTTAATTTATCCGATTTCAATTCCCAAATATTTATATCTGGAATGGCAAACAATTGCATTTCATTTACATTACTATTCTTTCTGATAAGTATTCACACGGAACTACACTAAAACAAAGTATGAAAATATGAGTATCAAAATTTAGTAATAAACATTAAAATATTAATTAATTAGTATATAAATAAGTCTACTGAAAAATAGTGACAAACTAATTGCACTAACAAATAAATAGACAAACAATTTATAAGTGAATATAACCAAAAACATATTTAGGTATTTCTAAATATTGGTCCGTTCTGGAGTAACTCAAGTGATATAGTCGACATTTTTTCAGTGTAGTACTATTAGAAAGTCTAACTAATATGTTCAAATATTAATCAATTTAATATTGTGTTAGCTTTGAACCACTCTTTCAGGAGATTTGTGAAACAATAGGTATACCAACCTAGGTCCAGCATATTTAATAGATACTGCACCGTGTCGACAGGAAGCTAATCTACGTTGAAACTTTCAGCCCCTAGCTTTTACTGTTCAGTTTGTACGTTCAGTACCTATACTAGATAACTTACATAGATATTTAACATACCCACATGCATAATGTAGAATTAAATTTTGCGGTAGGTAATTTATCTATACCTATAATTTATTTATTAGGTATGTTATAGGCATTACATTTTCTTTGCAGTTCTGCTTCTATTGGTTGTAGCGTGATGATATATAGGCTATAGCCTATATATAGCCTTCCTTGGTAAAACGGCAAAAGAACTTTAAAAGAATTTTTAAAATCGTGTCAGTAGTAGGTAGGTACTACTGATACGAACATTCAATCAGTAATTTGACCTCCTACCTAACCTTATGTTATAATAAATATATAAATTGTGTACCTATATATTTAAGCCAAATTTTTTTTACAATTACGTCACACATAGTTATTTAAAAAACATTACTTTCATTTTATTTTACCGTTACAAAGTATTAATGTTTTTTTACTCCGTGTAATCAATTGACAACTCTGCCCATAACTCTGATATATTTATTTAGACATTTTTATTATTACATCGTTATGATAAACCATTCGAAATCAATACAACAATTATACTTGGATGTTATCATGTAACGTAAGTGACGACACGAATGGCTCTGAAGGGATGTGTGCAACACGACCCACCCAGGCGCCCCGATCTTCTGGCCTCAAGCGATATTAATCTTTATTATCTGAAGAGTAAGATAATGAATGGCTTGGTGGCGAAAGGGAAAGATAGGTGTAATTGCGGTGGGGGGCGTTGGGAGGGTCTGGGGAGGAGCGGAACATGGCGGACGGTGGGGGTCAGATGGCTGCGTGCCGTCGCCAGACAAACACTACTTTCGTATTTCAAGATTGTGTTTAAAAATAAAAGTAGTTGTAAATAGATTTCTGAGTAACTGACATAGTAATTAATATATGTATTAATATTATGAAATCTCAGTTATGTTAGCAATTGACTTTCAATAGAGAAAGTTCATGATTTTAATGCTTTTTATATATATGTAGACAATTTATTACAATACTATATAGTAATCTGTAACTCTTGACATAGCGAACTAAAATATATAAATTACATGCCACATTTGCAATTGCGCTTTTGGTATTAACAGAGATTTTTTTTATTAAATTCTTAATAATTAAAATTGGCTCGGCGCTGTATAGAAAACTATATCAATATATTTATAGTCATTATCTCTATTTATATCATACATAGGAATTATTATCATCCAAGTCGTATAATTGTTATCAGATAGGTAATAAATAATATGTTTTTCAAAATATACGTTTTATAAGTTATGTCTGCTGATCTACCAACTCATAAAGAAAGCGGAAACGAGTGACCAGTATCATTATTATCCACTAACAAATAATAAAATATTAAAACAAAAATATAATATATAATAAAAATAACTAAAGAGCATTTCGATCAGGTTAGTATTTAAAAAAAAACGTATCGAACCACAACGATGCGACATACAGACACCAATGTATTACATATATCACCTCTCTTTTTACGTATGGGGTTAAAAAAACCATGCCCATGGTTTAAAAAAATGCCAATTGACAGTGCGCGAGTGATGCAGCGAACGCGAGCGGCCGATGGCCCGTGACCGGCCGTCAATAACCCGCCCGTCGATATTTCGATTAGCGCGGAATTCGCGGATTACGTCGGATTTTCGCCTCCGCGTCGCCGCACCGACAAATTGCCCTATTTGTACCTTCCAGCTCGCATTAATGATAATGTAGTATGATAGGAATTGCCTGCTTAGGTAGATATCTGTTTGTATTGGTTCATTTTGCTGAAAATTAATTGCGCACGTAACTAAACTAGGATGTTGCCATATCGTTATTGTATTTGTACAGAGTCATTCTCTTAAAGAGAATATAGCATAAAGCAGAAGTATGGTAAAATAAGAATAAATTTGATATCTTTGAACAAGTGACTGCATAATTTGTATGAAGCTTTTCAAAATTATTTTCAAGTTTCCATTTTGTTTTTGGTCAAGGTATTCAGTTTTATGACCTGATTTTTTTATGTTTACCTTCACTGGCTATGCTAACTTTGAGAATAAGGTCGACGAAATAATAATAACAAAAATTATCACAAACAAAAGAGCACCAAAATCAGTTCAGAATAACAATTATTGACCAGACTATGTAAGTACCTACCATACACACTTTAGTTTATTGTAAAAAAACTATATTCAGAAATAAATATATAAATGATATAAAGGAAAGAATAAAT